GGGAAAAGAGAGGAGATGTAACGGAGCAAGACTACACTTTCAGTACCAGATGGTTTTATGACGGAGAAGTTGTACACACCAAGATGAAGGGTAAGCAGTTCCCGATTATCAGCAATTCTGCGACAACTGGACACAAATTACAGGAATATACTGCAGTGTGGTTATTGGTACATTCATGGCGATACTGTCAAAACTGGCTTACGTTGGTGTTATCAAGGGTGCGAACCATGAGTGGTTTGTTCTTATTGAAGAAGCTGGATTGGGATCCAAAGAACTTTGCCATGCCACAACGAATGAGAGACATGCTTGCAAGATTTAAGGATACTATTGGGCTTTCTGTCCTAGGAGAAGATCAATACGATGAAATGTTCCAGCGAGAAGACGGGTTCTTGTTATAAGTATAAACGGTAGGGATATAGGGTAAATAATCTATATATAAAAACTTTATTACTACAACTACCTTCTGAGATTCGCATTGCACCTCGTACGTCATTCAATGTCAGTCATTGAAAAAAGATCAAGCGTCCAATCAAATCACAGTGACCCCGAAAAATTAGGAACCAACTTTTAAAATGTGAAGAACGCAAGGCGACTTTCATGTGCATGTACATGCGTGACTGTATCCCGTCAATACAATACTAGTCGAATACGTAGACTTCTACAGGGCCTTCTAAGTAATGCGCGCCGGGTATAATTCAAACCTCTGCCCCCATCGGTACCATTACCCCTAAAGCAAATCGTCTCCAGGAGACGAAATTCTCGAAGAGAGAAAACACTTCTCAACCAAAATCTAAATAAACACACAATAGGGCCAGAGTTATCATGGGCCAGAGAGTACTCTCAGTTCCCAAGGACCAACACCTGGACCAATCAGGCCCCCAACTCTGCTACCGGTAGTCTAGGTCCAAAGCCAGGCTGGAACTGGTCCATCTCAGGCCAGACCCATGATGAACCAGCCAACTCCATTCATTGTAGGCAATTTGGAAACCCTTTGCTGTTGCTGAGACGTTCCCACACTCGTGACATTTACCACCGGTAGACATTACGACGAGAAGGAGTTTGGAGACCAGACCCTCAGCGAGCTCATTAGCCCTCTATAAAACGGTGGGATGCTAGCTGGCTCTAGCTAGGAAAGGACACGATATCGTTGTATATCGTTATGTAATGTGCAGTTTCTATCATTTTGGTTGTCCCAAATCGGCTGGCTTGTGCATGAATGGAAAGTAGAAGCCAATGCTGATGGACGCTGTTTGGGCTTGTACGATGCACCAGCCAGTTAGTCCACCTTTACTTTGACCTGGTACGTTGAAAGGATGTGAGCAAGTCCCACACCCCACATCATTCCTAAGAGAGCACAGGGAATTGCCGCGCTCATGCGCATCTGCAGAACATGCTGCAGGTCTTTGGCAAAATACTGGTCCTGTAACGCCAAGCTGACCCCAACCAGGAGGACACTCCCATTCAATAGTGATAGACCTAGGTATCGTTTCGCGGAAGACTGCCAAAAGAGCCGTCCCAAAGACAACGCCAGAGCTCCCACGAGACATCCCACCAAGAAAATGGCCAGAGCCACATTCTTGCGGAGCTTCCAGATCTGAGACCATCGACTGGAACGACGGTTCTTCCTGCCGTCCACAAGAGGATTGTTATTGTATAAAAGATATGTGGTAACCCAGAGCAGTAGACTGGATACCATCAGCCACAGAAACAGAAAGGTTGGCAAGTTGGATTGTTGGTGGCGTGGCCCTTGACGTCGCAGTTTTTGGGCCAATTTGCCTGCAACAACCCACGAGAGAAAGCCTAGATAGAGCAGGGCGTAGACGACATCCATCGACTTTAGCACAACTTGGACCAAATCCACTTGAAAGCCTCGAATAAGCGGTGGAACTTCCGACGAGGGCTGTTGCGACAACCAAAAGCCCGACGCAATGAGGGTAAAGATCAGCACGACCATTGCCCCCGCTTGATGAAGATGCAGTTGCCGCTGTAGATTGGATGGCACCGTCACGAGCATTTGCCCGAGAGTAACAATTTGAATGCCTCCCAACAACCCTGCGAGGATGAATCCGGCCGCCACATTGCGTCGCATAGACCAAACATGCGCAAAGTCATGGAAAAAGACGTCCAGAAAGCCAACCGTACTACGCAACACCGACAAGGGCCCCCGCAAGATGGGTGTAGGCACTTTGTGCAGTGGAAGATGAAAGAGTGCATAGTACAGGCCATTCCATGGCGCATCGACGCAGACCCCACATGACTTGGGACAAATGTTGTGGCCAAACTCCACTTGTGCCTGACAGTTTGGCAATTCTCCTGCTTTTCGGGAGGCCGTCCATGTAGTACACTGCGTGGAGAGATCGTAGCAACGGCGAGTGGTCCCATATCCGGCTCCCACCTCCACTGTCTGTTGCAGTTCTGTCGTCTTGGTTAGAACCAGTATATCATCCAGTACCACTCGTTGTAGCACGTCTTCTCGTTGCAAGAGCAGAGACTTCCATCCGCCACTACCGGGATATTTGTCGACATTGGCATCCATCATCATGATGCGGTCGGCGGTGAATGCCTGCAATGTGATTTGATGTCCCGGAGGAACGGGATTTTCGAAAATTTGAATATTGTCCGAGCTGTCTCGCATGGACGCCTTGCCAGTTTTGGAAAAGAGTTGAATGGGAGCATGGTGATAGTTGACAATGGTGACTTGGACTCGTAGTTGTTTTCGAACCCAGTCTTCCAGTTTGAAATATCCCTGTGGCATCCAGCTCCCGGTGGGTCGGTAGACTTTGAACTCACTGATCAAATCTCCTCGGCGAGCAAAGACAATGGTGGGTTTTCCCGTGCGTTGGGCACTGGCTACCGAGGGAACTCGAAATGCCTGCGTCAGAGGCGTGGGGGCATTGTATCGGACTTTGGCGATTTGGAGAATGTCTTGCCATTGAGTTGTTGTGGTTGGATGCTGTGGACTGATGGGACCCGCAAATGGATAGGGAAAGAGTAGTTCTTCTGTGACAAAGTGTTCTACTTGTTTGCCAGCCACAAAAACACAAAGAAAGTGTTTCGTGAAGCGTTGATTCCGATCTAGAAGAGTCGATTGGAGCTGATCTAACGAAGCCAACTTGAGGACGAATTCTTGGGCCTGCTCGGCATCCTTTAGAATCTGTGCTCGTTTGGTATGAGCATTCTGTTGGGAACCATGGAATTGTTGTTTTTGGTTCATTTGTTGCTGCTGCTGTTTGTTTGTTTTTTGCGATGTGCTAAAGGTGTAGCTGGAGTGTCCATTACTTCTCTGCTCTGTCTTGGTTTGCGTAAACTTGCGCTTGTTTTGTTGTTTTTGATAGGAAGTTGTCATTTTCTTATTCTTTTGGTTCTTGAGCAAGTCATATCGTCGTTTGTGACTTGGATTGGACAAGAGTTCAAAGGCTTGGACCACGCGACGAAAGCGTTCATTGGCCACAGCCGGATCAATATCGGGATGTTTATCTGGATGAGTGTCCTTTGCCTTTTCTCGGTATGCTTTCTTGATGGTTTCTTGATTGGCACGGTGAGGGACGCCCAGTACTTTATAGGGGTCTTCTTTGGGCATCTCAAAGGAAGAGGAGGCTTGTCTCGCGTTGGAAAAGGAGGGAGATGAAAGGAAGCAAACGAGAAACAAGAACAAAACGGCACATCGTCGCCTCATTGTGGGGGAGAGCATTGGATTGGATACTGGACTCATGTCTCTTGTCTTTTGGTCTCGGGGATTCAAAAGTGTGATACTGTGACTTTGGAGCTCTACTTTGGGGACAACAGAAGCACAGGGGCTTGCATCGTCAAGGTGCAGCTGATGTTCAGGATATTATTTGACGTCAATAGAGGAAGAGCCATTGCTGTACTAGTAATGCATTTGGTTCATTTTCTGGCTTTTTTACTGTTGATCGCCCACGCACAGTGAGAGTGGGGCGAGATGAGATGATGCGAAGCGAACTCAAAAGATTTAGACTCGGCACCAGAACTCCAGCCTGAAGGCTTGTCTCTGTCAATCCCAGTAAATTATATTTAGAATACTCACTTTTTGCTGCAATTGATAAATGTTTTAAAAAGAAACTCACGGAGACATTGACAAGCCCACAAGCCCACTGTTGAACCACGCGGCAACCATGGCTCTAGCAAGCTAGGTCTATTACGGGATATCGCATGTAACAGTATCATAGTACCAGTAACTCCAGTAAAGAAGCATGATGGTATTAGCCCGTTTACGAAGCTCGTGTGCTAGCTAGATACTGTAGCTCGTTTGTTTTGCGAGATCGGTCACACCGGCAATGATACCGGTACACGTACGATGATAGTACCAGGTACCGGGAATTGTTTTGGAGCCCCCATTCGCCCATCACCCGTCGATCCTCCTGCATCTCTTGCTCCTTTTTTTTATCGCAATGCGTTTGGTGGCTCGAACAGGAGTTTTTCGGGGGGCTTCAGGGGAACACAGTGTCAGTCTGCTTCCGGAACTGTACAGTCCATCGCTACGGTGACTGCAAAGGAAGAAGGGCAAGGAAAGCACATCGTGGAATATAAGCGAGGTTGAAGCATGGCTATGTCTGCAAATGCTGCAGTGCCTGCATATAGAAACCTCAGCCATCCACCCGTAGATATTTAGCAAAAGATGAGCGAGGTCTAACAGGGGAGTATGAACTTGGTTGGGTTCAGACATTTCAACACAACCAGCCCCGGAGATGTGTCAGGGGTGGGGCTTAGAGTGATCCTTAGTGCTATGATAGTCCTGGAGCTGGTCCAGCATGGAGGCCGGGAGCGGACCCTTGGCTGCATTTGGCCAACAGTAGAGTGAGTTCTGGAGCAGGAGTAGACCGGGCTTGGGATGTGCCAATGGTGGGGCTCAGAGTGAGCCCTTGTGTTGGTCCTGGAGTTGGTCCAGCATTGGGGCCTGGAGTGGATCCCCGGCCTCGAGTGGCCGTGGAGTAAAACTTGTTTGCAAAATTCATCATGACATTGTTCCTTTTCAAAGCTTCGCGCTTCGCGGCAGGTTTCTCAGCCGTGGATACTAATCGATGCTAAACCTGAGCCCTACTGTACCGTACATTTGGAGCACCCAGGTTCGCGGCGATCGCTCATCCACTCGCTTCCTCGCCTGTCGCTTGTTGCTCATTGCGGCAGTGTTTCAACCTCGCAGCAAAGGACGACTGCAAAGGACGACTGCAAAGTACCCTTCTGTGCCTTGCTTGGCATAGTGAGCGCGAGAAAAAGAATCCAGACGTCCAGGCTAGTAACCAACCGAGGCACCGTACACAAAGGCAGCCTGAGCTGAAGGAAAGAGTTCATTTTGACAATGGACGATGAAGTCAACGTAGACTATGGCATTCGCACGAGTGTTATCCCCCCGCTTCCTCCCCTGAACAACTACGAGGAATCAGATCGTGAAAGTGGTATGCAGATACACTATAGCGCCGGTTCCATCGACCCCACCAATGGCGCGTTGCCAGCAAGGCTCGTCAATGCAGACGGAGATGCACTAGAAGGGTATACCCATGCTCCACCCGAAGTTCTAGATGCCACGGACATCGCAGTGGTCCCGAGCGAAAACGAAGAACGAGCACAATTTTCCCTGCGACGAAAACGAGTCTTAATGGGTGGAGCTGCTCTTTGTTTCCTCGTTGCGCTGACTGTTATCATTCCCGTGGTGGTCATTGTACCCGGCGATGATACCGTCGTACAAACCACTGTCGAACCATCGCAAAGTCCTTCTTCGGTGCCCACTTTGAGCCCCACAGTGGAGCCAATCAGCGACGCTTTGGCAGAGATGCTGCAAACTCTACAACAATATACCAAAAACAACGCGAACGATCCCTGGTGGACTCGACGGTCTTCCCCGCAATTTCGAGCAGCCAAATGGTTGGCGGATGTAGACACCCTGCCAATCACCAGCCAATCCCAATTGTTGCAAAGATTCGCTCTGGTAACATTCTACTATTCCACCACGAATGTGAGTGGGAACGGCAACGCGGACGACTGGAGAGAAGATTGGCATCAGTGTGGAGTATTTTCCAGTGGATGCAACGGAGAACACTGGTTGTCTGTAAATGTGCATGAGTGCGATTGGCTTTACGTTAACTGCGAGACTATCACAATTGGTGACCAAAGGGGAAGGCTGCTTCAGGGGAATGATGTTGATGATACCATGAGGGTTGTGGTCCAGGTTATTCTTCGTAAGTGCCACATGTCTTGGTTCCTGCGTACCCGTCGATACATGGGGATTAACCCTTCCTTCTTGTCTACTTTTACCGTACAGCACTTCATGGCAACAACCTCCGGGGGACACTTCCACCGCAGCTCTCACTCCTGACATATCTGGAAGTTTTTGCTGCTTCCAACAATAAGATCACAGGAGGCGTGAACAGTGGCGACGGCAACAACAACAATACCGATGTACCTCCACTTCATGACGTTGACCAAGCTTTCATGGAAGTTACCACGTTGCGAGTTCTCAACTTGGTGGGAAACAACATCTCAGGCTCCCTTCCCGTGAATATTTGGCAACACAGTCCGGATATGGAGTTGCTGCTCCTGTCAGAAAATGAATTCATCGGGGAAATTCCCCATGAGCTATCAGCAATGGCAAACCTATTGGAGTTGCAGCTGCAGTCCAATCAGTTGCACGGATCTATACCTCATTCGATTGGAAATTTGACAACTTTGCGTGAGTCATCTCTGATGCAATTTTGTTTTGCTTTGTACATTTGTATTCTAACTAACGCTGCTCTCAAAATGGCTCCACTCTTGAAGGTCTCCTTAGCTTGGCTTCGAATCAACTGTCGGGAACTTTGTCAGCTGAATTCTTCGACTTGCCGGCGTTAACCTCTCTCGACTTGTCGAACAATACAGGCCTTTCGGGCACTTTGGCAGGTGAACTGTCGAACATTAATGTCTTTTCGGCATCCTTTACTCAACTGAATGGACCATTGCCGGATACTCTGTTTGAGGATTTGACGCAATTAGAAAAGCTAGATGTGGAATCGGCGGCACTGACGGGTACCCTCTCGGAACAATTGGCCTTGTGGAATGACTCGATACAAATACTGCGGTTGCAGAACAATCAATTCACAGGAATCATACCGAACGCACTCGATGCATTGACCAGACTCGGGGAATTGCGATTAGAGGGCAACTCCTTCAGTGGTACAATTTCCGACGCAGTTTGTGCTCGTCGTGGGCAAGGGTTCCAACAGCTGGGGACTCTAACAGTGGATTGTTCCGTCGAATGTAGCTGTTGCGATGACTATGAAAAGTGTTCCAATAGTTGAACAGATGAGAAACTTCCTGCGAATTGTTGATTTTTGTGCCCACGTAGCCAGGGGCTTGCCTTTCACTTCCCACAACATGGTCAAGCTAGAGCTGGCATGTCAGTTGGTCGGTGGACGACAGCACATCACCTTTCTCTCATCATGTCTTCTTGCCTCTTTCTTTCCAAGATATCGCCAAACCTATCTCTCTTTGGAAAGTAGTTATTATACAAATCAATCATCTTTTCTGCAAAGATTCCCACAAAATTGAAGCCAACCAAGACCATTAAAGGGATGAAAAACATGTCGCTTGACTGAAACTCTTCGTGAGCCAAATATACATCTCCAAGTCCTACATGTACATACGTGTGCGATAGAAAAGCAACCGTACAACAAGATCTGTGTTAAAAACGGCAAGGGCGAGCTTTTCCACTTAAATAATGACTCTTCTTCTTCTTCTTACCGACAGTGGTTGTTGTTATGTAGCTGAACCAGAATGCCTCACTAAGAGGAAAGTCGGCTGGTCCTGGATCTCCCAAACGGTGATTGTGGTATGTTTGGACGGAAAGAGCAAGAATCAGCATCCACAGGATCGTCATGCAGAGCCAAAACAGGCAACATATGGGGCCTTGCATCAAGTAAGGCAGCTTGTATCTGAGAAAAATGTCTTCCGCCAATAGCTTCCATACAGCGGAACCCGAGTTGTTGAGGGCGATAAATGCAATGATAGTGACAAAGCCCCCGGTGTAAACGAGACTACGACCTGCCACGGTTGCCGGCGCTGTGTTCCCGTACCCTCTACGAGAATGGAGAGGCTGTCATTAGCACAAAGCAGCATGTCCATTCCCTTTTGCAATCTTTCACGTAACGTACATTGTAGTCATGACTGTAAACCAGAACAAGGCACCACCCGCCACATGGACTTTGCAGCGATCGCCCCCTGACGCCTTGTTGATGAACTCTACAAAGAGGGTCGAATTGGTGTAGACTTCTTCGAGTCGGTAGCCTGCAAGCTCGGCCTGGTATTCGAATTGCCGACCCAGGTCATTGATGAATACCAAGCTTTGTTCATCATGTGAGCTTTCTGTGTTGAGGCCAAGTTGATTGAGATAGAAAAAGGCGTCGTCTGACTCGTCACTCGCTTCACATTTCATCCAATTAAACGTCAAATCATCTGGATTGGTGGAATTGAAAAGAAATGGAACGATTGCTTGCTGGTTGAATTCGTTCACAGCTCCCTCTTGGACACAGTTTTGATATTGCGTGTAAGCGTTGGTACTGGTCAAGTTTTCCACGGCTTGTTGAATCATGGCCAAAGTGGTATTCCAAAACGAGATTTGCTCGCGGCATTGGGAGGAAACAGAGGCATATCGGGATGCCACGGCTCGTCGCAGCTCGCCATATTCGTAAAAATCCAGAAACGCTTGCCGTATCACGGCATCATTGCTCTCAATTTCAGCGGGCATCTCGGCCGCGGCCAATAACCAACCAAATAAAAAGGCCAAGGCAATGAGTAGTAGCAATGGGATCATCAGTTGGAACGTGACAAAGTAGATTCGGGGTATCCGGTCTTGTAGCTTCTCAAGGGGGGAAGGAGGTGATTGTTGTGGAGTATCTTTGCTTTGTTCTTCCTTCTCATTTTCAATCGCTTCCTGGACAGGCTCTTCCATCGTGGGAGGCAGGGTATCTTCGGATGGTATCGTCCGTTGGTCGGAGCTGATTTTGCCGTTGTCCTCTTCATGGCATGCAGCGTTTACGGTTCGAATGTTCGATTGATTCATCTTGCCGGTCACAGGCGTCAGGCATGCTACTACCGGTATGAGTGATGGGTGATGAAGGAGCGACGACGAAGATGGCGAGACGATCGAGTGCGCCCAACAAGCAGCTCCTGGTCTCTATATACCTCTAAACTCTTAAAAAAACCTTTTGGTTGATGATAATGGCTCTGAATTCTAATGAGCTGTACCGTAACGAAACCAGCGCGTACGGTACGGTGCGGCGTGACGTGTACGGTACAGAATAAATCTCCAAGTACAGTACTGTAGCGGTATATACTCTTCTGTGGTGCTGTATCCTGGAATAACGATGAAAAGACCCGTACGGTAAGAGATGTGCAGCTGCGGATGCCATTCTAGCATTGTCATTTCTCTCGCTGGCCTATTGCGATCTTTCTATCGTATAAATGCATACTTCGTACAGCTAGCTAGCTAGACACAGCGCCTAAAGAAGCATCTGAAGCCTGCCCCAAGTGGTACACTTTCAAACGAAAAAACACCGTCCTTGTCGGCGTGAATTGTACAGTATTCGTTTCTGTACAACCCCATTATTTACTAGCAACACCAACAGAAGCTGGAGCCGCAGCCACCGCGGGACGCTTCGAGTCGGAATTCCCGCCTTCGTCTCCGTTCTCATCGTCACAGTGCTTCTTATTGTCTTTTTTTGCGTCTTCGTGTCCATTTTGAAGAAACCTTTCCCAATTTCGCTTACGCTGCTTTCTTTTAGCTGCTTGTCGTGCTTCTCGAGCTTGTCGAGCAGCTTGTCGAGCAGCTTGTCGAGAGGCTTCTCGTAATTTCTCCTGTAAGTCTGCGTCCAGTAAGTCTTCGTCCAATTCGTCAACGTTGGAAGTACTAGTGTCAGTTTCATCGGGGTTCTCCAGTACTTCGCCCGAAAACCTACTACTAACATCTGAAGTTATATTGCTTTTATTGGATATTGGCACTGTCGTCAACGAGCTTACACTGCGGCTATCAAAGTCTTCTATCCCCCCGACTTTGGTGAAAGTGGCTTCCATGTTCGAATCTTCAATCAAAGGATTGTATACATGAGGTCGAGCTTGTTGCTGCGTTGTGCTCACAACTCAGGGATCTGTTTCTTCTGTGACACCCAACGCTGTCATTTTTCTGTTTCATACAGTATGCTTCCTGTTCAGCTATACAGTACGAGTATGCTTTGTAAATACCGTGGAGCTATAAGATCTATGACATAGATGTCCTAGCTAGTAATAAAAGGATTGGCTGAACGCAAGTAGACTAAAAGTAATCATAGCAGTCTAGCTAGCTGGTTACTTGCAGTACCGTAGTACTCGGATCCCGCGTGCCATTGCTGTACGGTACTTTTACGGTAGGTACCGTACAGTTAGTTGTACTACATAGTATACTTAAGACTGGCCAAATCGAAACCCGATTCGCGTCTGTCCGTCGTCCGTCAAAATGTGAGCACCGGCCAAAACAGTTTTATGGCAGGATCGGATTGTGTAGGTAATAAGCTATCCAGCGATGTATTAAACATAGCCAACTGGCGTCTAGTTGTTATATTGAAGGCAACCGACGCATCTAAGTAGTCGTGCGCGTTCCTGCCCGAATGAACTCCCACACACATCGGAACGAAAAATGGCCCATTTTCCGAGTAATCGAAACTTCCATCCGCCACCTCAAAGATGACGAAAACCACTCTATTTTGGCACCATGACGGAGCCCAACACCCTTGCAGACACCAGCGGCAACACAGACAAGATACCTCCAAGCCCTGTGAGGAAGATCCACTCTCCAGAGCTTCGAAATAAGATTCTCAGCAAGGAAAATCGCAAGGAACGTCCCAACGTGGAAGCACTCAGAGAAGAGATCCGGCTTTGGCTTGTCGCTTTTGGTAACCTCCAACACTGTGTTCCCTTTCGAAACAGCAATGAGGAATCCACATGCACCTGTTGCCAAGACATTCCCAAGGAAGGAAGCAATGATTTAATGTTCATGGTGAGGTGGCTGTTTGCTTTCGCCATCAAGTCGCGCAATGAACAAATCGCTTGGGTTGTGGAATGAATCAAATACGCCCAACATGAAGAAAGGAGAAGCAATGGCACCCTCAGCCGTATTGCAAAGACCCGGTGTTTCATTGTCCCATCCACCAGTGAAACTCCCTGTTGCCGAGACACATTGATGCGCATTATTGGATTTGGATGGGACCGCTGGAAGACATGCAATAACATCGTGTCGGGCAAGGGTGATGGCAAACACAGCCATGTAGGAAACCAGATTAGAGTCAACAAGAAGGTTGAAGAAGATCTGTGCATTTTCTTTACTGAGATGTGTCAGCTTGCGTCTCCTCGAGCCACTCTGTTTGTCCGCGAGCTTGTGGATGGCACCGTGGAGAATTCTTTGAAAGAAGACGACGATGAGGTCATGGAACTTCCCGGTTGCTACACCAAGCGCTCATTGTATGGCCGATACCTTCGCGACCATGGATGGAAAGCCAAACTGTCCATCAACGGAACAACAAAGAAAGAAATAATTCCAGACAAAGAGCAAAGCGATGTCTGCTCTTGGGCCAAGTTTGGCGGCTACTGGAGCAAGCACCATGCCAAGTTGAAGGTGGGAAGTGCAAGAGAAGACATTTGCAGTGACTGTTATATGTATGCCAACCGCCACAAGTACTGTGTCATGGTCCAAAAGAGGAACGAGGAAGAACAACAAAAAAATGAAGATTTGGCTGCAGCTGAATTGACAGAGGCCCAACAAAAGAAACAGGAAGAACGAGCCAAGCTCATGGAAGAACAGGAGGCGGCTCTTCTTGAGGTTGCGCAGCATGTTCGTGATGCAAGGAAGCAACGTGAATATTACCAGCTCAAGAAGGAGAGATCCAACATTGAACGGCAACTACACAAGTTCAACAGCCCAACCAATCAGTCTTTGTGCTTTGTGGCCGACTACTCTCAGAACATGGCGATTCCTTCTTTTGCTTTTGAGCAACCTGGAGAGACCTACTATTACTCTCCCTTGTCAGTCTATTGCTTTGGTGTTGTTGATTGCGCTACTGACAAACTCCACGCTTACACTTACACTGAAGACATTGCCAAGAAGGGTGGCAACAATGTCGCGTCTCTCCTGTGGCGTCATCTCTACCAGTCCAAGTTTGCACAGAAGGCAAACAAGGAAGGTCCTTACAAGGAGATTACCTTTGTCTTCGACAACTGTGGAGGCCAAAACAAGAACCGAATGGTCCTACGTTGGCTCTTCTTCCTTGTGAAACTTGGTATTACCAAGGTTGCGAGAGCCTCTTTCCTTGTTCGCGGCCACACAAAGAACGACTGTGACAGGCTTTTCAATGTAATGAAGAAGAATTACCGGTAAGTGCACTGCTTTGTTCTTCGCCTCAAAACCTGAAACTGACACAATGCTTCTTCATTGTCTTTGCTGTTATCTCAGGAAGGAGAACATCTACTTACCAGAAGACCTTCTAGCTTCTATGAGACATGACAATGTGGAGCCTATCTGGTGTCCAGCGGACGCCATTTCGGATGAAAATCCCTTTGCACAGAACCATTTTTTTGACTGGGACGCGGTGGAGAATAAGTACATGTATCGTCCAACCAAGATCAAGAACAACCATGTCTTCACATATGACATTGACAAGGGCAATGGAGAAGTGTTGGTTAAACAAGGTGCCCATGACAGTGCCAAGAAGTATGTTCAGAAGATCCTACGTCCTGAGTATCGCGGCAAAGATGCAAAATGGTGGGACCAGAAGCTTCGAGCAGAGCTGAACTACATTCCAGCTGTTGGCATCCAGGACATCAAGTGGAGAGAACTCTATGACAAATGGGCGCCACTTGTGCCTGAGGATAAGAAAAGTGGTCTCCGATACTACGTGGAGGATCCAGGAGAAGAGCGTCGTGCCAAAATCAAGGCCAACACGAAAAAGGCTAAGGAAGCCCGAAAGGACCGCACCACTACCAAAACCACTTAGTTGTTGCTGTTTGTGTTAACACCCTATTAAAGTAATCCTATTATTGAGTTTGTTCTATGGTGAGTGCCTTGTCATTGGGGCTGGAACGCTTGTGAGCTTCAGGTGTGGTGGCTCACTTTTGTTTTTCGCGTTTTTCTCCATTCAGCTTCCAACGGTTTCTCCCGACGATGCAAGACGGTACCGGTCGGGTTTCGATTTGGCCAGTCTTAACTTTTACGTACCGGGTACCGGTACCGGACGGTACCGTGGACACGTGTGACACGTTTGACACCACCAAATAAGCCAGTCTAGCTGTGAATCGTGTTCATTCACGGTTCTCCGAAACTGGAAACCTGACGTCATCAGTCAAAGATACCTTCAAATGGCAGCAAAGGTCCTTGTCGCATCCATTTAACCATTGTAGTACTACCCGTAGGTGCAGCACAATAGCACAATAGCACAATAGATCGATCATGCCTCCTCTCTGTCCTCTTCGTCGGAACCTTATGGTTGTTGTTGGCCTGCTGTTGATGTGTCAGCAGTGGACCACAGTCGATGCGTTCCAAGCGCCTCTGCACCGATCCAAATGGTCAGGCAGTAGCTCAAGCATCGCAAGACCATTCCTGGAATCGCCAGGTCCGTCTCCATTCCAAGCAAGGGTCACTTCCAGCACAACTCAGTTATCCCAGTATAATCTGCCACCTAGTGGTGGTGGCGGTGGCGGTAAAGACGACAATGTGGTCACTCAAGTCATACAAGGAGGCTTGACGATTGGAGCTATTGTTCTATTTTTCGTCAGTCCACTTGGAGGCATTTTCTTTGCCATTACGAATTCGCTCTTTCTTCTGGCATTGATTACTCCCGTCATTTTAACCATTGCTTTTCAAGTATGGCAGTCCCTCAACACCATTGAAGGGACTTGTCCCAACTGCGGTGCGCCCAAGCAACGGGTAGTCAAAGATCCTGCGCAGCCGGGATTGTGTTTCAACTGTGGTTCCATTATCCAGGCTAGCCCTGATTTGCAATCTATCGAACTTAGCACCGTCAACAGTCGAGGCGGAGGGTTTGTGGATATGGATCAACCTGGAGCAGGAAGCCCCGCGGGTAGCATCTTTGATATTTTTGGAGCAGGAGGCCCGCAGGCGCCTACAACACCACAACAACCTACTACCGATGAAGTCAAGACCAAAGAAAACAAGTTCCGAAGAGAGCAAACAATTATTGATGTCGAGGTCAATAAGGATGACTAATGGAGGCTACCTGATTGGCTCAGTCTGCATCAATAGACCTCTGACCGCTATAGAATGCATAGAACTTGCTAGGCTGTTTGGATTACAAAAACGTGCAATTTTTCTTCTACCATTACGGTAATTCTTTTGGTCAATTGTGTAGATCAGTTGCTATGGGAATGGCTTGGTTTCGCATACTGCATTTCGCCACAGTGTTTTCGTTTAAATGGATCAATGCAGTCAAGGTTCCCGTCGAAAAAAATTGGGGTGGTATTCCAACCTTCTAAAGGCATCAGCCATCCGTCGTCTTCGTACTTTCTTGTGCAAACGCCATCTGGAAAGGAGAATTCAAACCATGAGCACCAAGAGTCTCGGCGAAGAGCGGGCACCAGGCCACTTTGAAAGATATGCACAGGCTTCTTCATCTTTTCGCTCTCTGAAAGGACCAACGAGCGACTTGCGTCAATCTTGGGATCATTCGCTGGTGTGCGAAGCAACGTGGAATGTTTGGAGGGCTCGTAATTATTGCGCTGGCCTCTAGCTAGTCCAACATGTGCCTGGAACGATTGGTGGTGAAGATTGACAAGAACGTACTACCAGGAGGATGACACCATTTGATCGATTGCTGTTGCGTCTGGTAAAGGCAGTCAAAGAGAACCCCAAACGGCTCTGAGAGAAATCAAAGCCATGAAGCGATCCAAGGGTTCTTTCTTTCGGAGAAGTCGTCGAAGCCATTGCGAGCCTCGTGCAGACCACCTACACGATTTGATTGTTTGCCATTTGATTTGCTCCGAGGAGAGCACTGTTGGCGTTGGCTGGATGAACGAGAGAGGGAAGACGGAGGTTTCGCATTACATGTACATGTACATCACACTCAAATTGGGCAGGAAGGAAGCACCACTTGACGGAAACGCTTTGGGACGTTCCTCGCTCAACGTCGGTGGGCACTCTCCACTTTCTCTCTGGCAACGTGCCATGTTCTACTACCTCCGAATGAACCCCTGGCTCTGCTGCTCAAATGAGTCGTATGCGAAGTCGACCTGATTTGGTGGCTGTTTGTCGAAGGATCGATTCGTTCTCGACCTGTTCGTTGCTCGATTGTTTAAACTAGCTCGGGTTTTCTTCCGTCGACACAACGGTTGACGGCGAACGCGTCCGACGTGATTCAAAGACGTGGGACATACAAGACAGCGAACATTTTCTAGATTTACACTTTACAACTTAACACTGTGTTTGGTCACCGTCGTCCCGTGTGATAGCTGTTGAACTCGAGTTTGAATAGATTCATTCGATTCAGCGACGACAAGCACAATCACATCCACACACCCCTGATCTCAAATTTCCCGGCGAGGCACAATCCACCTGCAACAAGCTTACTTCGCATAGGCTTGGTGGGAGCGTCCCACTCAGGGAAGTGCCGTTTATTGTCAATTCTCGAAGGCTGGTAAGACCTGCCAATTCTTCTGTTGGGAGCGCCCCAAACAAATACGGGTTATCGTCTAGATGAAGCTCCTCGAGGTTTGTGAGAGCACCAACCTCGATGGGCAGCGAACCAGCCAAGTTGTTCTCGGACAGATGAAGAATCTTGAGGCTGTTCACCAGCATGCCAATCTCTGTCGGGATTGTCCACAGCAGAGCATTCTGACTCAAAAGCAGGTTGGATAGGAGAAAGAGCTCTCCGATTTCGGTTGGAATGAAGGAGCTCAAAAGATTCCCGGACAAGTCCAGCTTGACCAAACGGTCCTTGAGATACCCCACCTCTGTTGGTATCGCACCGACGATCTGGTTGTCGTTCAATTCAAGACCCACCGGTCTGATTAGACCGATCTCCGTGGGAATGGAGCCTCGCAACAAATTCGAAGCCAGCCGAAGCTCTTGAAGACTTGCACACTGCCCAATAAACGAAGGGATGCTGCCTGTTAGAAGATTTTCTTCGGCCACGAATTGGATCAAAGGACTTCCATCTCCTTCGGCAGGAAAGAGAGAATCCGACAAGCTTCCAACGAGTTGATTGCGAAACAATCGTAACTGCTCCAACTTGCCACCTCCTTGGCTTTTGATCAAAGAACCAATTTCGGACGGTATGGACGACGAGAGTTGGTTGTCAGATAAATCTAAAACCACCAGGTTCCCAGACAAAAGTCCCAGCTCTGACGGAATGGCTCCAGCGATCGAGTTTTCATTTAGATACAGTGTTTGTAGCCGTGACAACTGTCCCAACTCGGGCGGTATTGTCGATTCCAAAGAATTTTGCTGCAACAGCAAGTCTTGCATTAACGGTAGAAGTGCCAATTCAGGAGGGATTGTCGACGTCAATTGATTTTGAAACAGGTACAAGCGCTCAAGATTGGTCATGCGTCCTATATCGGGCGGTATCGGGCCCGTCAGACGGTTGGTATCCCACTGCATGACGCGCAAATTTCGCATATTCCCAATTTCACTCGGTATCGGGCCCGTGAATTGGTTGTCCTGCAACACAAAATCGTACAGCGACGTGAGCTGGCCCACTTCTGTCAAGATGGTTCCGGTCAATGAATTGTCGTGCAGAGACAGCACTGTCATGCCTTGCAATTGTCCCAATTCGACGGGCAACGTCGACGTGAAATTGTTGGAAGACAACCACAATCCCTTGAGCCGCGCCGACAATTGTCCAATTTCCGAAGGGATACTTCCAGTGAATAAATTGGCTTCCAAATCCAACTGCTGCAATTGTCGCAACAAACCAATCTGTGGTGGCAGTGTCCCCGTCAAGCGATTGCCCCAAGCCAGCAACGACGTCAATCGACTCAGTTCTCCAATACCTTCCGGTGGCAGACTGCCGGTCATTTGATTTCCGTACAACCATAGCGACAACAAAAAGTAGGGTGTCGATACGGGTTGTCGGACCAATTGTTCCGTGGTGGGGAAACTTCCCGTGAGGGCATTGTTGCCCACATGCCAATGTCTCAAGTTGGTCGCTTGCGCGAGCAATCCCGGCGGCAATGCCGGTCCAGTGAGACCATTGTCCCACGCATGCAACGACTGTAAATCGGGCAGATTGACCATGGCCGTCGGGATGGTTCCCGTGAGTCTATTTTCAAAGACCACCATGAGTTGCAAATCGGTGCACAGCGCCATGACGGATTCGGGAATGCTGCCTTGTAGATTGGTGTTTTGCGAGAGATCGAATACTTGGAGTCTTGTTAATAACTGCAACTCGGGTGGAATGGTCCCTTGCAGATTGTTATTGGTGAGTTGCAGCGATTGATAGTTCTGTCGCTGCAAGTCACAAACGGGCGTGGCGGTGGAATAGAGTGCACTACTGGCCGGTGGAGAACGTCCCCAGTCGCATTCGTGGACATTGTACTGCAACCATCCAGTGGTGACATCCCATAGATCTCCCCGGGTGGCATAGTATAGCGTGGCCAGGGCATATCGTTGGAGGGCTCTATTTCGTCCAAAGGAGTTCCATTGTGGATCTTGTAGCATCCAATCAAACGCTCGTGCTTGTGGTGATTCAAAATCATTATTGATGGTGTCTTGTGTTTCTTGTGGTAGCCACGCCAAAAAGACAGTCGTCCCCAGGGGTTGTGTCGATGGCGGTGGAGTGTTAGTGGAGAAAGTGGGTTGTGGTTGTGTTGGTATTTCTTCTGGTACTGTTGCTGCGGTTGTTGGATTGACGGTTGGTTCTGGCGGTGGTGGAATGACAACGGGTGGTGGTGTCATGACTGGCAGGGATGAGGGTGAATTGGTTGGTTTTCTGGTTGTGGGAGCCACTGTGATGACTGTGACTGGCGGTGGAGTTGTAGTGGTTGGTTCTGGTTCTACAGGTACAGATGGTGGTGGTGTGGTTGTTGTTGTGGTAGGTTGTTCTGGTGTTGTTGTTGCCGTAGTGGTTGGCTCTGGTATAAAGATTGTGGGTGACAGAGTGGGTGTTGCTGTGGTAGTGCTTGTCGAGTTTCCATTGGTCGATGGAATGATGATAATGGCCGATGCATTATTATTGTTGGTTGGATCAATATTGTCGTCATCGACCGTGTCATGACTTGGAAGAAAGAGCAGGACAAAAATGACGACAATCATGATTTGTATCAAAATTACGACGACGGCGAGTGCTGGATTGGAAGAGCTCCATTCTCTCTTTATACAGCCGAAACATACGTATTCCGTTTCTTCTTCATACTCGTTCTTAAAGTCATCGTCGTAATGTGGATCGCAGTACTGCGATTGCCGTCGTGGTTGCCATCGGGCAATACTGGAATGAATGGGAACATCACCGGCATCGAGTTCTGCGGGATACGAGTGGTGGGCCCATTCCATGTGTTTCATTACGCCAGGTGGATGCTCATCCGTCGCTTCTACCACGTTGCTGCTGCGATTGTCGTGTGGTGCCGTCACACAGAGTGACCCCGATCGGTGTACTTCACTCTCCCATTCTTCAATGGCCTTGTCAAACGCTTCACTGTCGTCGCTGCTTTCCTCGTCTGCCAGCACGCGGGGCAGAGCCAGAGATTCTTCCGGTCGCTGCTGCTGATACGCGTCAATGTTGTTGTTGTACCGATGGTAGTCCTTCTCGGGAGTCTCCAAATCGCTCAGTGGTTCATCCACAAACTGAGATCGTTGCGCGTCAGACTCATCTTGTGAAGACGATAACAGGGACGCTTCTGTTCGTAGAGGAGATGTGGTGGGGCTTCCAGTGGCCGAAGAAGAACTCGCATGCGATTGTTCTTCTTGAATCGTCTTCATAAAGTCGTAGTTGGTATTGTTGGGGTCTTGCATGATGGTGATTACGAATGTGATGGCTGGCTAGCTCTCTTTGCTTCTGCTTCTTCTGTACGCACTTTCAACCGACAACTCTACCAAACAAGCTACCTATTAGCCAGCTATCTAGCTTGTGGATCATCCGCTACCTAGGAGCTATTGATCTATTGATTGCCCAGACAGAACAAAAGAGGTAGAGATTGAATTCGGTGATGAGCGAGATAGAGGGACTGTCACACCAAATTTTGGTGCAGCAACTTTCTGTCTCGAGACGAGGCCGCTGGTGCTTTCGCCTTCTAATTCGGTTCGAGTTTTTTGAATGAAAACCCTCTAACTAAGGCGGTCATAATGATGACGTAGGGGTTAGTACCACTAGTAGTGAGCCCACACTTGCTCCAAACTATTGATTCTTCAAAACCCAACAATTAATACCGGTAATAAGCTGTTGAAAAGCTGTTGAAAAGTCGAGGTCTACAACGCCACAAATGCATGGGAGCTTGGAGCAAGGAGCTGAGCAAGGCAACATTTCGTGTCCTTTGACGGCTAAAACAGCACTGTACCAATCCTGTTGTGGTGACTTCCAAGAAAACTGTGCCATTGTTTAGTCGTTTAGCTGCTTTTTAAAAATAATGTAATTTTAGCTTTTTTTGTTAGAAGGACACAACTCCAGCTAGCTCGATCTACAGAACCATTCTACAACTGATTCTCTTCCATTCCGTCTTCCAGCCAAAATGCCCGATAGATACAATCTGGTTAAACGGACCTTAGACTCAATTCAAAGAGTCCATTGTCGGTGAGCATGGCATGGATCAGAATGTAGTAGCTCTTTCCAGCCTCTGCCGTCCATTGGTGCAAACTACACCGTTGCGGTGAATTGTAATTGTCGTTGCCACCGAGACATCCGCCCGAATTTTGGCACGAGTTTTCAAAAATGTGCAACTTGGTATCAAAGTCCGTAAGAGGATGACACGTACTCGCTTCCAGTGTTTGTGTCACGGGCGACGTGACATGGTACCAGACACTGCTCGTGTCACCAATGAGACCAAATTTGCCGCCTATTTTATAGAAGGAAAGATAAATGTCGAGACAAAGAAAGAAAAGAGTGAGACACCAATGAACGGTACTGCCGTGCATTCATTATATATAATAATACTTACCACAATTGGTGGCCTGATTATCCCCCCACGGCAGATTGGCCTGATAGGTGGTTCCAATGACATTGGGGCCCCCAATGGGCAGTGTCGTGGCCGAGTCACATCGTTCATTGTTGGGTCGCGCATTGATCACGTTCAAATCAAAGTTTCCCACGCGGTTGTTGAATCCATGAACGAGAATGTAGTAGGTGCGTCCTCGTACGGAATCCCACCGAACGGTACTGTAGACGCCGCCGAGTTGACAAAATCCACTGGCATCGTCATTGGCGGCGACACATGTCAGACCATTGCAGCCACCGGCATTGTTGTTGTTGTTGCTGGTTCCTTGGTTGTTGTTGTCTTGTGCATTGCCTTGGTTGTTCTTGTCATTGTTCTTGTCGTCATTCTTGAGCTTTCGTCGCAATCCTCGCTGTCGATTGCGTCCTCCTCCATCACCGGCTTGCAAGATGGAAATGGCAGTATCGTAATTGGTTCCGCTATGGCACGTACTGGCCGTCATGCGATCTCCCGTTCCAATGACGGTATACCACGCCCCTGGACTGGTGTGGGAGATACTGTTACATGTGGGTGCCGCCTGGGTAGCATCGAAAGTGGCACCGACATTGGATCCGTGAAGGAGTTCAATGCGATTGGGCCCGAGTCCTTCGGCTGTCCAAGGCAACGGTCCCACGGCACTGCTGCAACGATCATTGCCCGCAAATGTATACTGAATAGTTTCTGGGGCAGGTGTCACGGGGGCAGGTGTCACAGGTGAAGGTGTCATTGGTGCTGGCGTCACAGGTGAAGGTGTCATTGGAGCTGGTGTAACAGGAACAGGTGTAATAGGCGAAGGTGTCATGGGAGCAGGTGTGATTGGTGATGGTGTCATGGGAGCAGGCGTCACCATGGGAGGTGTAGTTGTTGGCGGTGGTACGGGAGTATTGGGTGTTGGCCCTGGAGTAATCGACGTGAGACTTCCTGATAAACCAGACGGCGCCATGGTTGCTGTGGTGACCATACAAATCTTGTCGGGCGCACAGTAAAAGGCGGTACACGGCAGGGTAGGACAGTAGAGAGTTGGACAATCATTGTCCGTGGCACAATTCATATACAGCTCTCGTTCTTTTTGTTCCTTCTCTTGATCGTGTGGTTGTGAGTTTGCATTGGATAATGATAATGACGACGGTGATATGATAGAGGCACCAGGCGGAAAGGATCCCACTGCCAGTATGGCTGATACGACGACCAAGAGAAACAGACCAGATCCAACTTTCACGCACTTGCTCATTCTGTTGGTAGATGTTTCATTATCATTGTCATTGTGGGAATCCATTGTAATTGCTTCAGCTATTTTCATGGAAAGAGATTTTCAAATTGTGTGATCCTCTTTTGCTTATCTCATCCTTTGGTTTGTTGGGCGACATGTTGTATGTATATCATTGGTTAGATCTCTCGGAATGTCGAGTGTTCCAGTCAAGGATGCTATGATCGACAGCAAACTCCGTCGTGATATAGATACGGGTAGCTATGTAGCCATACTCTGTTGTAGTGTACTGATCGTAAGGCCCACTCCGTCCAAAATTTTGAATTCATGTGGCAGCGCTAAAAGACCAATGACGAACGAAGGTTCTTTTGGTGGCCTTGCACAAAAATGAGGCTTAGGGTGAAGGGTAAAATGAAAAGAGAACCACCTGACAAAGCAGTCGAGACCTTCCCACGGAACTCCTTTGGAAAGAACCAAAATGAGGAGAGAGTGCTTGTACGATGCAGGACCGTAGCTATCGTCGTCATCAAGCTCAAATCAACAACAATAGTAATAATAGCAATGACACTCCACAGCTCGAGCACGAACAAATACGGCACATTTCATCATGGAGGGACAATCGAAAGCATCCTCCACATACCGGTGTATCCATCAAAGGACTGCGCTACGCAGTGGCAGTGTTGGGTCTGATGGTGGCATGCCTTCAAGCCAAGAGCATGGTGTCCTTGTATCATCTTAGCAATGCTAATGACAGGAACAAAAAGAACAGCCGTGTCGACGCAGGGCGACAATTGCAATTTGATCCAGCCAGCATTCGTATGGATATTGCGGCCCAAGTCGAGGCTCAACTACTAGAAGCGAATAATAATGGACAAGAAGCACTTGCAATAGTGCAAGGAGGAGAAGAAGAGCTGGGAGAAGACGATGAGATACCCATGTCCAACAACAACAACACCAATGGAACCTTTGTAGAGGACGATGACGAAGTTGAAGAATCAGAAGACGAGGACGAAGAAGAAGAAGACGAACCCGTGCATTTTGTAAATGTCCCTCCACCACCCCGAAATCTTACCAGCAAGGATATTTTTGGAGCTTGTCTACTTATTAAAGATGACAATCATTGGCTCATTGAATGGCTGGCCTATCATTATCATGTACTGCCACTCCGATACCTCATTGTGGCCGTCGATCCGACTTCCAAAACCACTCCTCAACACATTCTCGATCGATGGCTCTTTCATATCAAAATACAAGTTTGGAAGGATGACGATTTCGTCACAAGAATTCCCAAATTCATGCGAAAGCTATACCACAACAATACGCAGGTCCTGTTCCATCGACATCGACAAAACTCATTCTACATCAAATGCATGCAAGAACTCAAGCGCAAGGGAAAGGTACCATGGGTACAATTGACCGACACGGACGAATTCACGGCGCTCAATTATGCCTCGGGACCACTCTACAATCTCACCAAATATCATCCAATTCAAACACCCGGTTCCATCTTGTCCTTTCTATTACATCATCAATACGTTACCAACGGTACTGCATCATCGAAATGCATTTACATGCCACGATATATTTTTGGCACGCACGATACACCTCGCAAGGGATTGGTCAATCGGAACGTGCCCAAAAACAATCCCATCTTGCGAGGACACGACTTTGTGACACAACGATTCATGTTTCGACAACCCACCAGCATGAACAATGGCAAGAATCTAGTACATTTAGAAGCCATTCCCATGCATATTTTGCAACAGGCACAGTTGGGACGCATGAATGTGCATCGGGTCTCCAACACGTGTCCCACGCAAGAATCCTTCCAAGGCGTCAATCATGTCAAACGAACCATGATCAAAATACATCATTATTTGGGAACGCAGGAACAGTACCTCTTTCGAAGTGATCCAAGAACAAAGAATAATACGATGAGTCAAGAAAAAGTGGCATTCAATCCACGCGGTCTGGAACGATACCAACGATTGGACCGAGAAGCCGTCTACAGCGATTCGGGGGCGCGCGGATGGATTTCTGGTTTCATACAAGATGTCGGATTGCCCACGGCAGAGTATCTGCTCAAGGGAGTTGGACAAGTGGGGGTGGAAAAATAATTGTTGCTGTTGTACAACAAGGAGACGTATGGTGTAGTGTAGTGTAGCCTAATAAAAAGGAAAGCTTGTATCCTATATTCGAATTGATTCGATTCATGGATTGCATGCATGCATGCATACAGGTCTGTAGGTCTGTAGGTAGCGAGATATCAGCCAGGATACCAAGTCGAACAAAGGGTGGGCGGGGTCATTGGTTTCGGCCATCTTTCCTGCTAAAATCGGATGATCTTTTCCTCCATCCCGCTACGTACGGTACCACTCGTACATGTATCGTGAATGGTTACTTGGAAGATATTGTCTTGATGACCGAAACGCATCAGGTAAGCAGCGTAGCTACTGGTAGAAGGTTTCTACCTTTAGAAGTCAATGAAGGAATTACCGTCTGAAAGGCGGTGGGCAGACCAGGTTAGCAAAAGATACCCAAGACTACTGTGAAGTTCGGTTTAAAACTATCCTTCCCACTGGTAACATCGACATGTCATCGTGGTCGCTCAAAGCCGGGAACTGGCTCCCAGAAAAAGCGTTTGCACCACGATTCAGTCCCACACCAAGCAAGAACTCTTTGGCAATTCTTGCATTGTCGATTTTCGGTTCTTCTATTGAAGATGTCTTTTCTGAGCGGGCTACTAGCTAGCTACCAGGTACAGTACCGGTAGAGGATACCTTCACGTATTTCTGAATTTTTCCAAATTTCGGTTTCTGCTCCGGAGTCCACGAAGAAGCAAGATCGGGAGGCATTGAGTGTGCAAAGCTCGACTCCATGCCCTGGGACATGCCGCATGCAAGTAAGAATGAAGCCGGTACCAGGGAGTTATGTGCTTTGTGGATCTGGATATGTTTCTTGGGGCTTGGAGCTCCCTCACCATTCTCACAATCTCAAACAAAGCAAAACAAAAACTAACACCATGAACAACACAGCTAACACAAGCATCTACGCCGTCGACAAAGAAACTGGAAAGCGTTGTTGGGTCAATTCCAAGACACCCAACACCGTAGCCAACGACTGTCTGGAGGGCGAAATGACACTCCTGATGAGAGATGGGCAACACCCCTACTTTGAGGGAAAACAACGAAGATTTGACCTTCAAGTTCAGTTCCGACTAAAGCAGAACGCCAAGACCATGTGGTATGGAGTTGAGCTAGATGAAAGCCTTAATCTCGGAACACTGCAAAGAATGACTACAAAGGCTGCGCTTGGTTTCTGCCAGAAAATGAACCCAGGTGCTTTCCACAGCAGCATCTCCAAGGATCCTTGCATGGTCTTCAAGGTTGACAACAGCATGGACCGCATTGCTCAGACCGCACCTGGTGACCTTCCACCATGTCTAGGAGAAGCTGTTGAAGAATCATCTGAGTCAATCCAAAGGCGCAAAAAGGCAGGTGTTGAGTGGAATACAAACGATACCTACACCATCTCCTGCTTTAGCTCCTACTTTGACTTCTTGACCTGGTCTATCATGAATATGCCAGGACTGCCAACTATTGATGCCACCAAATTGGTTGGAAATCAGCCCTTTCGGTTTGTCATGTACACTCTCAAGGACGAGGACGGATCCCATACTCCTGAAAACAAAGACTACATCTTCAACTTGGAGCTCAGTAACACAGAAAAAACGAGTCTTGGGCCTGCTGCTCAAGAATGGATCGAGCAACAGAAAAAGAAGGAAGCTGAATCCGCCTCTATCAGGCGCCCAGCTCGAAAGTCCAGAGCCGGCAGGTTGTTGATGAAGGGTAGATTGTCCATGACTGGCAGATTGTCCATCGGTGGAAACAGACGCCGTTTGTCGGGCCTTTCCCTTTTCGACCATCACGCATAACATCGCACCTTTGAACACATTCAATGGCTGATCCTTCGTTTTGAACCTTCATAACACTTTGCATAAGAAATACGTAAACCACAGTTACAGTTACATGTACATCCCCATCACTTCGCCTCTGCAGACATTCGCCGTCACTATTTCTCTTGAGCAAGCGTTCAAGGTCTGGGCCCGGCGGGTGGGGGGCAACAGATCTTGTGAAGAGAGAGCCACGCACACCACAAGCAAGCTGCTAGCTAGTTAGCCAGGTAGCCAGGTTACACGAAGATGTAATGTGCAGTCAAGGAAAGTGCAATTGAGACCTTGCAAGCTCTAGAGAGATGGTAAGGGTTGCTTCCAGCACCTGATACTGTCGAGGTGCTGATACGATACCGGTACCGGTAGGTACCGATACCACCACAGTCAAGTTCAATGAAACATCAAGACTTGTAAAACTTTATTATGAGGTAGAAAATTTATTAATTATACTCGTTTGTGGGTTCCCGCCCCTTTCTGTCCCCTGTCCTGGAGATTGTTGCGTGCTGCCGTGATGGTTGTCGCACCCAAGATACCGGTACGTTCACCTCCGACGCCTAGAGTAGGCATCAGCAAAGGGCAGCCAACCGATTGATACGTGGATAGTGAGATACATGTCGATATTGATATATGCAAACTCAGGTCTCGGTGACGTGCTGTGCACGCCAAAAACTAGTAGCCTCTGTGGGCGTCGGCTTCTATCTCGTCCAGCGGGGCCTCGACTTCATCGTGGGGGTAGTATTGGACTTCGAGAAACTCGAAAATAGAAGGTTCGTCCTCCGCATGGTGGCTACTTCTCATGGCTGCTTCCTTGCTGCTTCTGCTGCTGGTTGTGGTGCGTTTCTTCGAGTGCGATCTTCCCGAGGAGACAACCAGCTCCTCTCCGTGACTTGTTCTGTAGCGATCATGGGAATCGCGGGAACCGTGACCCTTAGAACTGCCAGGCGAAGCATTCATATTCTTGGACGAACACGACATGGCCTCAATAGCATCGCCTTCCACGCCTATGTAAACCTTGTTGGATGTCCATTGGGTCGATTGCGAAGAGGTGGCACTTGGGATACGCCCTCTTGCTGAGGTCGTAGATCGAGCTGTTGAAGAGGGCTGTCTCCTGACAAGTGACGGATTGGATTCCTGGTTCATCAGATACTCTTCCATCTCCATTTCCACTTCGTCTTCGTCGTGTTCAACATCAACATCGTCGGATGGCTCCATTTGCAGCATTTCTTTGCTGTCGTCGGCTGGTTTGAGTTTCGACTTTTTATCACTGGAAGGGATTTCAGCCATTTCGGGCTGGATTTCGGGCTCCTTTTCTGCCTTGTTCTTTTTCTTCCGAAGCCTTGGTAGTGACTTTAGAATGCCTTTCTTCTTCTTGCGCATTACGTCTTGTCTTGCTCCCTGGTGTAGACTTGGATAGCAACCAAACACTTCTCCTTTTGCCGCTTGACCAGCAGCTGGGATGGCAGGTGCTTCATTCTCTTGTTCATTGTCATAGGCATCATCAGCATCTTCTTCTTCGACGGCATCGTGCTTTGTTGTATGACTGCGAGGAAAACGGACCGGGGACTTGGCATCCTTGGTTCTGGACTTGAAAAGACCTTTGAGCTTTGCACCGTCCGAGCTTTCTTTCTTTCGTCGGCGGGACCTACCGCGCCTCAACGACTGGTTGCTAGGGGCCATTTCGAGATTCAGTTCATGAATTTGACGAGTCAACTCTGCCGTGACTTGATCAATGGGCTTACTGGGGTTGAAATATTGCTTGCCACTCCAACTTTCTCGCATTCTTTCAGAGAAGAATAGTGGCTTTTGCACCAGTTTCTTCTCGGCAACTTGTTTGGACAGCTCTCGGTGCAAATCTCTAAGAATCTCCGCCTCGATGATCTTCTGGTCTTCTTCTGTGATCATGGCCCGCTTGTTCAGCTGGGCAACCTTCTCATAGAGCGATGGCGCGTCATCAGTATCTTCAGAGCTCAGGGGTTGTTGTTGAGCTGATTCTTTGCTTGATTCGGTAGATGCCTTGGAAAGCGCTTTGGATTCAGACTCCTTAGATCCAGAAGTTCCCTCAAGGATAGAATTCCCCTCAACGATGCGAGGAAGGATACCGGTATCACCACCGCCGCCGCCGTTTCCAAACTTGTCACTGGCGTAGTTTTCGTTGGCGTATTTGTCGTTGTGTTCTGACGAAAGCTTCGTCCTCATTTCAGCTTGCCAGACCTCCTTTGCCTTTTCAACAATCTTTCTTCTGTTTTCTTCTTCCTTGATCGCCAAGTCTCTGACCTTATTCCATTCCTCTTGATTACGTCGGTAGATGTCCATTTGCTTTTCCAACATCATGGACTTCTGGACCAGCTCCATGCGGCACAATTCTGCCTGGGCTTGACGGGCCAACTCCCTCTGATACACGTTGGCACTCGTTTCATGAGGATTCGGCCGAATGTGCTGATGGTTAGCTTCACGGGAAGAGAGTTGAGTCACTTGCTTAATGAGGTCTTGCTGGCGCTGAATATCCCGATGCAACTGGTTGATTTCATCCAGTTGTGCCTGCAAGGAACTGAGTGAATGCTGCGCCCCGGAAGATTCTTTGTTGTTATTGTTGTGATTGCCAGCTCCAATAAGAGATGGCATATTCATGCTCATACTGATTGGAACATCTGGCATGGCGGGTCTAGGAGGCGGTGGCCTCGAGCCCGGATAAATCGGGTATTCATCCTCTTCATCTTCGTAGTAGTACCCGTCATCATCTTCATAGTGATCAAAACTGATGAGCTCTTTCGGAGGCTCTTCTTTCGCATTCCCATGGTTCGTATTCCCTTTCCTTTGGTCTTTTTTCTCTTTGGCCTGGTGGTTTGATTTGCGCGTGTAAGTCTTGCCCGTCTGCTCCTTCTTCTCGTAGATGCGGTCAATGATACTGGACACCGCATCCGGTTCCTTGGCACTCCTGGACGAATCTGCGGTTGACGCCCCTCCTGGGCCACACTGAATGCGCTGGGGATCCAGCATGCCCAGACGCTTGTCTTGGCCAAAGAAATGATTGTGTTCGTAGGTATCCAATGTCGGATCCGAAAAGGTATTGGAGAGCCACTGCTCGTCCACATCAATCTGGAATCCCCTTTTGTCGTCTACAACCCCATCTATTTCAGAGAAGTGTTCCATTTGCTCATCTAGATCCATCAAACTAGACTTTAGCCGTTCAGGGTCCATTCTAGGAGCTTCTAGGGCGGGTTTGGGTCTGTGCCGACTGACTTTATATTTGTTGGAGCCGGACCGCCTGGGTCTGCCTCTTTGATTGCCTCCTCCACCAGACTTGTTCATCTGATAATTCTCGTCCTGATCTTCGGGCCACTGACGGTGATGCTGAGCCGGTGTATTGGGTTCATGGTCCCGTCGCTTGGGCCCAGAAGCTTGAGACCTGGTGGATGCTTTTCGCTCCGACTTTGATTTCTTGATTGCCAGTTCAATCTTTTGGACGATATGCGCTTCTTTAGAAGCTTCGTCCATTTCGTCATAGGGAATATGTTGCTTGCGATGTTTCTTTTTGGAAGACGACCTGGGTGGTGGATGCCTTGGTGGAGCTGTATGTAAATTGACCTGGGGCTTGTCGTGGCGAGGAGTCATGGGGCCCCTGGAACGGGAGCGGGGAGTGGCGCCATCTTCTATGATTGCTGCAAGCGAATCAACTTGAGGAATCCCTCGGCGTGGGGTCATCATGGTGGTTCCTTGATAGCCATGCATTGGCAGAAGAAGACTGAACTGCGTCGCTTTTCTTCCAGCATTATTTCTCGCAAGAGAGGAAAAGGGTGAAGCGAAAATCGCTGAAAAAGAGAGAAAAAGTGAGAAGCAGCCAGAAGCGAAACGGAAACGCCTGCCATTTGCATATGCACGATTGGAAGCACAAATTTGAGATACTTAGGTGTGGAGCATGTCGGCACTCTCAACAGCAGAGCTGTTGAAAAGGACAAAAGCTTTGTTCCGTGTGGGTTCGTTGCTGACTGGACTCCACTCACTTTAGACACCGATCACCGATGGCGAACCTTTACTAAAATGCTTTCCTGACCTTGTTGATTGAACAGTGCGGAATCCGAGCCAGAAGCTGCTCTATAAGATAGATAGAGCACTTCCTACGTAGTACCAGCCTCTCATTCCAAAAAGACCGATACTGGTAGCCAACAGACAATAACTGGAGTGTCGGTGGCATCAACAGAACTGACGAACCACGTTGAGCTCTTTCTCCGCACCTCTCCCTCTTCCCGCACCTCTCCCTCTTCCCGCACCTCTCCCTCCGCGTCCCTCTCCCTCCGCACCTCTCGCGCTTCTCCGCACCTTTTTCGTTGCACCTCCAAGTTTTCAGAAGAAAAAAAGTGCCAACAAGAAGGAACAATGAGGACCCTGCCCATCTCGCAAGCAACAAGACAACTCTTCACACAACAACAACAAGCAAAAGGACACATCCAAAAGGATAGATACTTCAACCGAGAATTGAACTCGGGACCTACGCCGTGTTAAAGCGTCGTCATAACCAACTAGACCATCGAAGCTTCTAATATGAATGAAATATTCAATTATAGAATCGCGGTAAACTATGCACCAATCAATCAATCAATCATCCTTCACAGATTGTCCTGTTGGAAGGGCATTGCAGCCTTTGTAGCAGCCAGGAGAGTGGCTAGCTAGCTAGAAGCTGAAAGGATCTGGAAAGTTACTGGGCATGATGCCAATTGAATAAACTTTGGGCAGCTGCCAGCACAACCCAAAGTTGCACAGAAAAATGCATAGGATAGGGTGGCCTCTGGGAAGTCAAAAGAGTGCAATCAAGTAACCAAAAGTATCTTGTTGAGAAGTAAGTATCGACCACAAAGCCTCCGTTTTACGCATAGTGATTTGGCAGTCTATTGTTGTTTCAGTAAATTTAGTTACTGTAATTTCGCAGTACAAGTTCCTACCGATGTCGGAAAGGGGACCGAGGGCAGAGATCGGACATGATGGCTGTAGAACTCCCGGACGGATTTGCGGTTTGAACTAGCTAATGAATTGAAGTGGATTGAGGCACTCTAACCGCAATGGATGGGAAGTATGCCCGATCGCAGCCATACCGGTACACTCGTTTCTTGCTCCGTCTTGCAAGGCTCTTGGCTTCTGCCGAACCCTCGAAGCCAACTGAATATTTCATTATCATGCCATTTGGTTTTTGAATAAAATGATGTGCACTACAATGGATACCATGAAGCGTTCATGCAAACGAGAAGTAAGGCACCGTCCGCTTTCCATGAAAGGGAAATACTGTAGATCGCTAGTCCAACGATGATATATCGTCGGCTTTTCGTTTCTTTGTTGGTAGCGGTTCTTCTTGTTGCTGCTTGGGTTGGTCCTGGCAGTAAATAACTTCTGGATTCTTGGAAAGCAAGTAGTATAGGCAGTTCAGGTCGTTCCTTGTATTGTGGTTGCCCAGAGCATCCATCCAATCCTGCCTGCTCGTCGGCGTCGTCTTGTCGTCACAGCCCAAGAGATGTCGTCTACCAGCACGGTTGAGCCTCATAAAGATATCAATTTCCTCTCCCAGTGTGTCACTCTGAATTCCATCCAACTGCAGCTTGCGTAGAACTTTATTTTCTTCTAGCGTGGTGCCAATTCTGGCCCGACACGAATCGCTAATGACGAGTCCGTCTCCGGATCCTTCTAAAGAAAACTCTTCTAGTTTCTGTGCCTTGGCTAGGCCTTGCAGTAGTTCCACCAAAAAATCTTCGTGTAGCGGTTGTTTGCTTTTGACACTCAGATTGGCAATGGCTCTATTGTGGCACAGTAATTGGGCAATAGCTTTTCCGTGTTCCGTGGAGACAGTTTCGGCAAAGGCAATGCTGAGGAACCATACCTTGGAGTTGGACTGCATCTGTTGAAAGAATCGAAACACCCGGTCCCCCGATACATCGGTATCCACCAAGTGCAATCCCATGATTTGTGGCGATTGACAAAAGTCATCAATGGCCGCCAAGGAAACTCCACTAAATAGGTTGGTGGCCACAAACTTGAGCGTGGGGTGGTTGGCACATACCCGTACCAGCGGATCCAGCGCCCGCTCTGGGATGCGTGACAACCAAGTCAACGGTTCCACAATACAGATAAATGCCAGTGATTGCAAATGATCGCGAAGGATGGCATGCGCCAACTGCTGCCATTCGTCGGGACTTCCCAACAGATTGGCGCCCAGTATTCTCAAGTCAGTCAATTTGGCGAGATTGGGTAGCCACAAGATCCGGATCAAGGCTCCAAGTGAAATTGACGTCACCGCATGTGTCAAGCGCTCTATATTGATATATTCCAGATTGTCATGTCTCGTCAGAATATCTTCCAGTCGCTGAATGCCGGCATCTGTGAGTTGCACAAAGTTGTCCGCAATGGCGATGGTGATGGCTCGGATCGCACTGCTGTCTTGGACGGTGGGAGGAGGAAGATTGGGGATCACAACGACTTGATCTCTCTGCAGCGATATAGTCATGCAGGTAGAACTATCGATGCCGACCGTCGCCGTCGTCGTCATGTCATCGTCGTTGTTCGTCATGATTGTTGTCCGCCATGTCGAAACGTTGGAAGCAGATTGGACGTGTGAGTGAGAAGTGAGAATAAAGGTCGAAGAGAAATCGAGTTCGCGGCGCCCGCGCGGGAAAACAAGAAAACAGGGAACATGTACCGTATGCAAAGAAACAAAAAAGGAATCTCTCTCTTT